AGACAAACGGTGAAGGAAAACATCGTGATCCGAAACCTAGGCTTGTAATTTCCAATTATAAGTTTAAAATCACCAACCCGCATTGAGAAAGCGTGGTGATTAATGCTAAAACTTCTGTATATGAGAAGAGGCTTTTCATCAACAGAGTAGTCACTTATAGGCTATTGATGATAAAAACATCATAGCCTTTAAAACGCAACGCGTATTGATTTAAAGCCCTGTATGTACATTATTATATTTGATTTCATCTCCGTGCGAGCGACGGGGAGATGCAACCTCCCCTTTCAACATTGCAAAGCCCTCCCACCTTTCAGGCTCCCTAACTCATACCACTAAAAACACTCTTTGCCACCCAGTTCAGAACTAAATTAATATTTTCATTTTATTTATTAACTAGTGTTTTTATACCGAGTGTCTTGTTGCTCGGAAGTGCTACTGCCTAACGAGGGGTCTTACTTTATCGGTTGGGGTAAAGTATGATTGAGGTTTTTTAAGGATACTCAGTAGTACTACATTGGCTGGTATATGCAACAGGCCCTATTATGTGGTACTAATAACTGGTGAAAAATGAATTGTTGCATTTACTGTCATTGAATACAAAACTGTTATTAAAATTGAAACAACAAACAGATAAATTAAATTGTCAAAAGCGACAATCGAAGAGAATTTTGGAATTCCGAGTTTCTGATATACAACTTGCTCTATCTTCGAGGACTCTAGAGGAAACTCATCTTGATTAGACCAGTTGTATCACCAAAATGGCATTAATAAAACTGACTGAATTTGGTGATGGCCAGTGGCGTAGCGTATCTTGGCGGGGCCCCGTATAAAAATTTTTTTGGGGTTCATGAAAGGTACTTCAAAAATTCGCACAAGAGATTTTTTTACATAATATAAGTACTAATCATTTGTGTTACAACCGGAAATCTTTCCATGTCGAACCAGGCCTCTGTCTAAATTATCGGACAATGATAACTTAAGTTTTATAAGGGCCCCATATAATTGATACGGCAGATACGGCGCTAGCTACGCCCCTGGTGACGGCAGATATTGAAGTCGGATACCAATTATATGTATAGGTGTGTTTGAATATCAAGCTCCAGGTGTGTTGCTGGTGGTCTTGAATAATAAAAGACTTCAGTATGATTAGAAGACTGTATTTAAATAGGTGCTGATTGTTAGGGTCAACCGATATGTGCGCACGGCGTCGTGTCGGGCGAGCGAGTGAATGAATGACCGTCGTCGATCGCAGCGGTCGCGGGCCACGTATGGTGGTGAGCCCGATGTGACGTCAGGAACATACTCCCCGGGTTGAAGAAAAGGCTTCAAGATGATGTTACGCCACCGGAAGAGGGCAGATGTTGTTGTAGGCACGTGTGATGATGCCTTTCTTCGTACGAACTTCAGCGACTCGACAATGTCCGTCCGAGCCAGGTTTAACTGCTACTACTCTGCCTAGCAGCCAGAGAAGAGGAGGGAGATTGGCATCCCTCACTAAGACCATGGTGCCCGTCTTCAGGTCTTGTCCAGCTGTTTGCCATTTGGTTTTCTGCTGCAGGAGAGACACATACTCATTAGAAAAGCGCTGCCAAAAATGTTGTCTCAGTTTCTCAACGCGATCGAAACGCTGCAGTCGCTGGATGTTGGCGTCGGTCATTAATGGACGAGGGACTGAAGTGAGTGGTCGTCCGATAAGGAAATGGGAAGGAGAAAGATAAGATAGATCAGAAGGATCAGAGGATAGAGGAGTTAAGGGTCTGGAATTTAATATAGCCTCCATCTGAACCAGGCAAGTAGAGAGCTCCTCATAAGTAAGGTGAGTTAAGCTCATGACTCTACGAAGTAAATGTTTTGTGGATTTTACTGCTGCTTCCCAAATGCCACCGAAATGTGGGCTATAGGCTGGTATAAATTTAAATTCGATGCCTTTGTCTGCTAGGTCTGACTCTATGTCTTTGGATGAAACTTCAAAGAAACGTGACAGCTCATTGAAAGCTCCCACAAATGTTGTGCCGTTGTCGGAGTACACGCGCTGAGGCTTCCCACGACGGCTAATGAATCGGCTGAAGGCCGCAAGGAAAGCCTCCTTGGTCAGGTCGGAAACCAGCTCCAAATGAACGGCTCTGACTGCAAAGCACACAAACACACAAATATAAGATTTAAGTAACTGACATCCTCTACCCCTACGATTGGCTATCAGCACTGGCCCGGCGTAGTCAAGCCCTGTGTTCAAGAAGGGATACTCGAGATGGGTTCTGTCCTGTGGCAGGTCGCCCATGACAATCTGTACAGGCCGAGCCTTGATCCGAGTACAACGAACACACTTACGCACTATATGCTTGGCTAAGTTCCTGCCTGCCAGAGGCCAGTAAGACAGTCTTATGTGAGCTAAGAGTAATTGAGGCCCTGCATGAAACAGTACAATGTGTTCTTTTTCAAATATAAGTTGCGTTATATGATGTTTGCTACATAATAGTATAGGATGTTTAACATCGTAGCTATAATGTGAATTGTTAAGACGTCCACCAACGCGTATTAGATTGTCGGAATCAATGAATGGAGAAAGACTTATTAATCGATTCTTTTTATGTAAGGGCTGATTAGATTTAAGACATGTATATTCCTTAGGGAACATTTCCTGCTGGGAAATATGTAATAAAAGATTTTGTGACGATTTTAACTCTGATACTGTTAGGTAAGATGATTGTTTATTATTCGGTTTTTTACAATTATTTATAAATCTTTTTATATAGGCCACTACTCTGATCAATAACGTAAATGAAGATTTATTATGAATTAAACTGGAAATTAGATTAATGTTAGTTATGTTATGCATGTCAGCTGTTGTGTGTAACGTTAATTCTGGTAATAAATGCGTATTATTATTTTGTAAAGTAGGAAATTGAATCTCACTTTGATTAATGAAATCAGGACCTGACCACCAAAGAGTGGATGAGCTGATGCAATCAGCCTTCACCCCCCGAGAAGCGAGATCGGCGGGGTGGCTTTTAGATGGCACATAATTCCATGTCTGGCCGTTTGTAGCTTCTTGGATTTCACTCACTCTATTGCGAACAAATTGTTCGAGGCGACTTGGCAATGTTTTCAGCCATCCTAGAACGATCGTTGAATCGCACCAAAAATAACAATGATGAAATTTTAGAGTAAGTGATTTACGTACCTTCAGAAAAAGTCTTGTACCCAATAAAGCACCACACAACTCTAATCTTGGTATAGTTGTGGGTTTTATAGGGGCTACCCGGTTCTTTGAAGCTAACAGGCGAACGCAAACTATTCCATCGACTGTTATCGTTCTTATGTAGATACATGCACCATAAGCACGTTCGGAGGCGTCTGTGAACGTATGTAATTCTAGTGATGTAGCGGGCGAAACTCCGCTGCCGCGCCAGATAAGTGCGTGGCGGGATGAGCTCCGGCGCGATCTCATGGCGGAATGGCAGCAACGACTGTCGCAACCGAGGGCTGGGCTCGCTGCCATTGCAGCGGTAAGTCCCCTCTTTGAGGAGTGGCTTGAGAGACGCTACGGCGTCCTCACCTACCGCCTGACGCAGGTCCTCACCGGACATGGAAGTTTCGGGAGGTACCTGTGTCTTATGGGGCGGGAGGAAACGCCCGGGTGTCATCACTGCGAGGACCGCCCTGAGGACACGGTGGAACACACCGTAGCGGAATGCCCTGCGTGGGCTGAGCACCGCCGTGCCCTCAGGGAAGTGATCGGCGATGGCGACCTCTCGCGTCCGGGCCTAGTGCAGGCCATGATGCGGAGCGAGGGGGACTGGGATGCCGTCTCCTCCTTTTGCGAAGCAGTCATGCTAGCTAAGGAGGAGGCGGGACGCGTGAGGCAGCGAAGCGCTGCCTCCTCGCGACCCAGCCATCGCGAAGGACACACCGGGCGTCGGGGATCGCGGGACGATCTCCGGCCACCGTAAGCGCGGGCCTGCGGACGGCGAGCATGGGTGGCTCCCCGTCCGACCAGAAACAGACCCGAGCGTACGGCGCGTCGCGTTCCGCGCGCGCCTCAAAGAGCCATCAGACCACCACAGATGGGGCCCAATAGGGCCGATGCCGATTCGGAGTCGCGGAGAACCTAACGGGTAACCGGGGCTCCGGCTCGACGTGCAGGAGAAGGAACGGGGTGGTTTTTAGTCAGTAAGAGTCTGACACTCCCTTCCGCCTCACCCAGGCGGGAGCAGTCATTCGATGATTTTCCCCCCTTAAAAAAAAAAAAAAAAAAAGGGTGGCGTGGGGGAGCGGGAGCAATCCACCCAGCACCCCACGCGTTAGAGGATGGGGCGGGGTGGTTGTTCGGATGTCGGTTGACGAAGGGGAGATGAACATTCATTCTGCACTCGGTGCTCGAGCGCGACGCACGTCCGTTCGTGCGCTCCGGTCCGGGATTTTTCTATACTATTCTTTGTCGGTTCAGTCTGCACTTGACGCTCGGTCGCAACGCACGTCCATTTTGTGCGCTTCGGTTCGCTGAACTTTCTGGATTGTTCTTTGAACATCCAGTTTGCAGCCGGTGCTCGGTCGCGTCGCACAGCCGTACTGTGCGCTTCGTTTCGCGAAATTTTCTGATTTTTTCTTTGAACATCCAGTTTTTAGCCGGTGGTCGGTAGCGTCGCACGGCCGTTCTGTGCGCTTCGGTTCGCGGAAATTTCTGGATTGTTTTTCGATAGTTTAGTGCCTTTTCGGTTACCGGTCGCGGCGCACGGCGCCCTGTGCGCTCCGTTCGCTAAAATATCTTGATTTTGCTTTGTTTTGTTGGATTCGCCAATAGTTAGACTTTTCCGAGTTGTGACTGTGGAAGAATCGGTCATCGTGTAGAAAGAAGTGTCATTTGGGACTTAATTTTCTTCGGCAGTGGAAGAAAATCGTTACTTGTGGAAAATTTTAAGATTGTCTTACTTAAGCTTGTGCTCGTGGACGTGAATACATTAGAAGTAGTTTGCGATAGTAATGAAAATTAAGAAGCAATCATGCAAATAAAACGCTTTGTTAGTAAAGATCCGGTTGAAGCAGAAGCAAGTCAGGAGATAAAGAAACCTGTAGAAGAGAGAGAAGATGATCTGAAACAGATACAGAAACCCATAGAAAATCAAGACGATGTTTGCCAGGGGATAAAGGAAACTATAAAAAAGAAAATAGATGTTTGCCAGGGGATACTGGCATCAATAGAAAAGGAAGAAAATGTTTGCCAGGGCATAGAGGAATCTATTAAAGAGAAAATAGATGTTTGCCAGAAGATAAAAGATTCTATAGAAAAGGATAAAGTTAATGTTTGTCAAGAGATGGAGAGAAATGGAATGCAAGGCGCTGGGGCATCTAAAACAGAAGATTTCTCTAGAGGTGCAATACAGAATATTCCCTGTACACACGAAAATTGTCCCAATAATGGAAATAATTACCAAAAGATGCAAGGAGCCAATAGCGAGAAACCAGAATCTTCCTCTCGCGGGTCTTCCTGTAAGCAGGAAGCTAATTCTAGTGGAACAGAAAAACCTATAGAAACGGACGAAATAGATGATAGCCAAGACGATGATGGGCCTACTGATTTCCTAACAATAGGATTTCACTCTGGAATTCCGATGCAGAAAATTCCATGTGGACTGCAAGCAAAACAAGGTCACGTGCCTGGAAACAGAGGTGCTGTAATTTACATGTGCAGGTACATATCGTTCGTTTTGGGGTTTTACAATTTTTAGTACAAATTGTTGTCTTCGGGTCTCTAATGAATAGGTTGCATATGGGCAGACGTGCTGTATTGTAGGCTGCGTCATCGCTCACCACGAGGCGAGATAGTGGCGGCAAACGCATACCCATTATTAATAAATAATAATAAAAAAGAAAAAAATGTAAATCTCTTCTGCGCTAACATGCGCTTGACCTGTATGATTGATGTGGAATTTTTGAAGCGCGCCATCTATTGGTTGAAACTTGAAACCGTTGATTTAATCAGTAGGTGTCGCCACATGTAGAGTTTTACACGTAGGGTGGCTAGAGGTAGTAGAGGTTCATTCACTCAGAACGTAATGATGCTAAGGACATGAAACTTGACTCCTAAGCTAACTCCATGTTAGTATTATACGCAAACCATTCGTTATTACTAACTAGCTTTTACCCACGGCTTCGCTCGCGTCACAAAAGAATAAGAAGTAGCCTATGTGACATATACCAATACACACAGCGCCATCTATACAAATACTTTTGTTTTTCCTCGGGAATATCAATTTTTTCCGGGTTAAAAAGTACCCTATTATTTAATCCGGACTTCTAACTTTACGTCTGCAAAAATTCAAAGCAATCGGTTGAGTAGTTACGGCGTGAAGGTGGAACAAACAAACAAACTCACTTTCAGATTTATAATATTAGTAAGGATGATACTTTGATTTGAGTGGAGAAAATCATCCAATGATTTCTCCCGATTTGGGCGAGGCGGGAGGTGCCTTGCGGATTTGATACCACCCCGTTCATACTCCTACTTCGAACCGTTGTCCCCGTATACCGCTAGGTCGTTCGCAAATCTGGTCCTAAGGGTACTTGGACTCAAAACCTCGTAGACGATGGTTTTATTTATATTCTAAACTAACTTTCTACCCGTGGTTCCGCATGCGTTAAATCAGGTGTATTGTATACATAATCAAAAAAGAATTTTTCGGCACCTTACATGCACAGAGATGTAGAGAAAAATAAAAACTATAATAAAAGAACAGATATCACAATATTAGAATTGAGAACCTCCTCCTTTTTTTGAAGTCGGTTAAAAATAAAGATAATCTCTAATATGACAAAAATAAATTCATGCCCATTCCGAATAGGCCTCCACCTTAGCATTATGTTGAGCAGGTTACGCCCACGCTAGGTTTCAGGTGGCAACCCGCAGTGGCCCCACTGACCCACGTATCGGTCGAAAATGGAAAAAAAATAAAATTAAAGCAAAATTAAAAAAAAATATCCTTCTTTTTGAATCACTCCATCTTTATAAAACATATGGGGGGCGAACTTGCGATTTGTATAAAAGCAGTCTTTGCCCCGTCGTGAAGTACTGCTTCGCTTTGTTTAGCACACCGAGTTGTTTAGATACCAGCTTGGCTTCGTCTTCTAAGTGACTGCGGAACTGGACGTCACTAGATATGTCGACATCAAGGATACCTATAGTATACTTTTTAACCGACTTCAAAAAAAAGGAGGAGGTTCTCAATTCGACCGTATATATTTGTGTTTGTTTTATGTTTGTTCGCCTATATCTCCGTTATTTATTAACCGATTTTGATAATTATTTTTTTGTTGGAAAGGAGATTGTCTCAGAAACAGTCCGAACGATTCTAACCTATCAGTGGGTGTGTAAGCTATAAGTACGTATGATTAATAATAGTTATTTTTTTCCTTTATAGTTTTTACTTTTCGTTGTGTCTTTAGTTTTTGAAGTCGGTGTTTTTAAACGCAGTTTTTAAATTTTTGGAAATGTTAAGAGTTGTATCTTGGAATTGAGGTGCCACAATGAATTTGTTTAAAGGTGAACGCACAAACTTTGTCTTGGACGGGTTGAACCGGACCATATGGTCCTGACCCCAATCGGAGACTGCACAAGGTACCCTCGACTTGAGACACAAGTTGTACGCGACTTTCTACCACAACGCAACGAGGAATGTTTGTAAAACGTGTCGCCTGTGCTATCATCCGCATAGCAATGAATGCCATAGTAATAAATTGATATGCAGAAGAAACAGCATCGGAAAAAGTACAGAGCCTTGCCAATTGCCATGCTGTTATGCTTAGGCCAAATTCTTTGTCCAGCCGATGCATGCTAGCAACCCATTTGCAGAGTCCCGCGAGTAGTCCGTATGATGGCAACTTCGTCAGAAGCCTCCGGTGCCATGCCCTATCGGACGCTTTCGGTATATCTAGGCTAACTGCCAATGCCTCACCTTGGCTGTCAATGCTCGAGGCCCAACGGTGTGTGAAATACACTTCAAGAGCGACTGTAGCGAAAACCATATTGACGGTCGCTGAGCACGCATACATATGTACAGTCAAGGGTGAAAAGTCCACTGCCACCGTGAGTGATATTCACACGGCAATGCATAAGTAATTTCATATTAATGTGCATAAAAACGTAACGTAAACGTGCGTACGCATAAACACACGCACGCGTACGCACACGGATAAAAATGTGCGTGTGCATGTGTGTATAAGCAGTGGCAGTGGACTTTTGACCTTTGACCGATTAGGGATTTTTTTATTGGGGAAAATCATCGAATGTCTGCTCCCGCCTGGTTGAGGCGGGAGGGAGTGTCAGACTCATACTGACTAAAAACCACTTCGTTCCTTCTCCTGCGCTTCGAACCGCAGCCCCGGTAACCCGTTAGGTTCTCCGCGACTCCGAATCGGCATCAGCCCTGTTGGGCCCCATCCGTGGTGGCTCTTTGAGGCGCGCGCGGAATACTACGACAGGGATAAACTGCGAACAGCGACTTTGTTTTTCAGTCTGTATTGACGACTTGTTTTACATTTTATCTATTTTTGTTCTAGTGGTGATGTAAACCTGGATCACTGTCGGCTTTACATCAAGAACATACCCAAGGGTCTGAATGATGAAGGTCTTCGTGCCCTTTTCGCCAAGTTCGGGACTCTCGTCGAGGTATATCTCAGTAAAGATCCGCAGAAGAGCTACGCGCTAGTGAAATATGAGACAGCTGGGTAAGTTTTTTTTATAAGCGACGGCCTGTCTCACACGGAGAATTGCTTGCACCCGCTTGCTCAATGCGGGTTGGCATTAGATATTTCTAATTATACGTTTGAAATCGTCAACCCGTGTTGAGCAAGCGGGGTGATTAATGCTCAAACCTTCTCCGTGTGAGACAGGCCGTTTATAGATATTTGGTCAGCAGTGGCCACCTAAAGGCTGATGATGAACCTTGATGTTGATGATGATAGACCTCCTGTGCTTTCGGTGGTGTAAGTGTGTGTTTTTACTTTGGCACACACAGTGCCAAAGTAAAAACAACTTTGCCCCACACTAGGATTTTCTCCTGTCTCGTGAGTCCGACCCAGACCCGAAACAACAATTTGTGGATAACACAAAGTGTTGTTCCGTGCGGGAATCGACCCGCGACACGTTGTTCGGCAGCCGGTTGCCCAGCCACCGCACCAACCGTTCAGTCCGTGTCGAAAACCGCAAGTCTTAATTGCTTTAAAGATGAGACCTTTATTCTCTCTAGACGATTCCCAACTGATGATTATAATGACGATGATGCTGACTATAGTCAGAATTTTAATTCGATTCCAGATTTGACATTAGCTACTGTCATTTTGTGAAATAATGATACTACAGATAAGTTAGATATTATGTTAATTGAACATATCACAGACACATTTATAATAAATAGCGGCCCGTCCCGGCTTCGCACCCCCGTGCGGACTTAAGATTTTTTACATAGTTTTACGTTTTATTTATATTTATTCTCAGTTTTTTTTAGCGACCTGCCCTCCGTTGTCGATGTCGCGTCTTAAGGTAACCGATTGAACAATTCAAAAGTTATCTAGAGCAAACTTTTATAAGGATTGAACCATTCATTAAAACGATTGTTATGGGTAAACTATAAAAGGTAGACATATGCTCTCGCGGACTTTTTTAAAAATAATGTTAAGATAAACAATTCATCTATAGAACATTTTTGTATAACTTTAACTATATGCTCAGCGCACGCCACGGAAGGCCTCAGAAACCTTTCCCCCGTTTTTAAAACATTTTTGGTTACTGCTCCACAACTATAGGACCTAGCGTGATATTATATAGCCTATGTTACTTCTGAATAATGCAGCTTTCGAATGGTGAAAAAATTATTGCAATCGGTTCAGTAGTTTTTGAGTTTATTCATTACAAACATACAAAAATACAAATCTTTCCTCTTTATAATATTAGTATAGATATAGATTAGTATAGATTAGTATAGATGTTACAGAAAATGACAGCGATAGCGATAGCGAAGACGGCGACAATTTATAAAATAAATTATTACCATAATACAACTATCTGTTTTATTTGTCATGTTCCTTCATGATCACATTTTTTTATTTATTACACACACAATTGTAAAAGAAAAGTCTTAAGATCGTTAATTAATCGTCAAAACTAAATTATCGGTTCAGAAATATTTAATTTCCTGATATACTTCGTTTACTATAGTAAAATTATGAGCGAGAAGAATAGATCCGGAAATATTCCATTTCCATATCGAATAATTTCGAAACGTCACTATTTAGTACTTGTCATAACGTTGCAACACTGAAATTGTCAAATCTGGAATCGAATTAAAATTCTGACTATAGTATACAAACGAAAAAAGTAATGAAAAAACAAAACAATATTCTTTGTTTTTTTTTTCACAGAGAAGCTAAGTTGGCGATGATGAAGATGAACAGGACTGAACCATTGAAATTGTACATCAGCATCGCTCACAGGGTAAGTGTAGACATGTTAGTACTTACTAGCTCATTCCGCGCGGTTCCACCCCTCTGCTCGGCTTCTATTGGTCGCAGCGTGATGTTATAGTTATAGCCTTCTGCGATAAATGCGCTATCCAACACGAAAAGAACTATTGAAATCAGATCAGTAGTTCCGGAGATTAGAGCGTTCAAACAAACAAACAAACAAACATTCTCTTCAGCTTTATAATAATAGTAAATAAGATTATCTAAGTTGAAGAGTTTCATAACATAACATCACGCCTTTTATCCCCAAAGGGGTACGTAGAGGTACACGTTACGGCACTTAATGCCACTGTACAATGTAACACCCACTTTTCACTATTTATTATGTTATGAGTTGAGTAACATGTAATAAGCTCACGCCTATTGCCATATACCGGGCACATTTCCAGACTCCATGCTACAGTAGTAGATTTTCAGTAGAGAATTTGTTAAAAACTCATTAATACTTTGCCCGACCCGAGAATCGAACCCGAGACTCCTTGTCGCCTGTTCTTGCGACCACTCGGCCAACGAGGCAGTGTGTTGATCATTTATTTTTAGGTTTAGTCCATTTAGTAGTTTTATAAAGATACAAAAGATCTAGATAAGTCTCGACATTACCTGAGCAGATTCGCACGCTCTATAGTCGATTAGGGGCCGTCCATAAATTACGTCACACGTTAAGGGGTAGGGAGGGGGTCGACGAAGTGTGACATTGTGTAACAAGGGGGAGGGAGGGATCCTAAACTTTGTGATGTCACATTTCAAAAACTATTATAAAACACGAAATATAATTTGTGTTAATGTTTTTTATTTTGTTTCATTTGGTATTAATATTTTTTTAAACTAATTTAAATAGAAATTGAACTAATTTCCGAACCGCTATTTTCATTCAATAATTTTTATACATACCTACGTAATTCTGCAAAATGTGACGTCACACTAGGGGAGGGGGTCTCACACAAATGTGACTAGCTGTGACAAGGACGGGGGGAGGGGTAAAAAATCATGAAATCCGTGTGACGTAATTTATGGATGACCCCTTACAAGGTTGCGTTAGACTTAGAATCTCGCATGAAGCGCGTATACGCGCGGTAAGGGCTCGTACGTACACAAAACTGCGATGCGACGTCGCATCGCCAAAATATGCGAGCTACCTCTACGCATCGCAAGAACTTGCGAATTGATTCGCATCGCGCATCAGAATATTATCTGCACAAAATCTTCTTTATTAAGTAAAATCGCGGGTTACTCTCGTGAATATACTGAGAAAAGCTCTACTAGTTTCGAACCACAGAGGGGTTCTTCCTCATGAGCAGCGTGCGCGGTCGCGGCGACGTCGCGCAGCTCACTGTCACAATATATTCACGTGAGTAACCCGCGATTTTACTTAATTTAGTATGTCTCACGATAGTTATTATAAAAAAAATCTTCTTTGTTTATTTTTCCTGTACCTCCTAAGCAATAACAGAAGTGCACACTTATTTACCGACTTCTTTTACGATCCATGCCACTACCTAGTTTTTATGTTAAAATACGCTTAGCGTTAGGCGGTTGGGCTTGATATAGAAGGCAGTTCTCCTTGAAACGGCACGTATCGTGAGGAGGTTTCTGTCTCTGGAGCCCCAACCACCGGTAGCTTGGACCGTGCTCCCGCTACTGGTCGACTCCTAATTTTATATTTTTAAATATCATTTTTTATTTTGTAAGTAGTATTTAAAAATGCCTGCTGGCCCTGACTGCGCCGTTGGCCGAGTGGTCGCAAGTGCGACTGCCGGGCAAGGGGTCTCGGGTTCGATTCCCGGGTCGGGCAAAGTATTACTGGGTTTAAAAAAAATCTCAGTAGTAGCACGGAGTCTGGAATTGTGCCCGGTATATGGCAATAGGCTCACCCCCTATTACATGGGACTCATAACATAAATAGTGAAAAGTGGGTGTTACATTGTACAATGGCATAATGTGCACCTCTGCCTACCCCTTCGGGGATAAAAGGCGTGATGTTATGTATGTATTTAAAAATGTAATTTTTAGAGAATTTTAAATAAATATGTTAAAATAATTTATATTAAAAAAAATTACAGTCCAACGCTAAAAAGCAGAACCAGAATCAGAGCCGGGGGTATACAGAGAGATCGGAAAGGAACGATAGAAGCGGGAGGGAGAGGAACGATAGAAGTGAGAGAAACAGCGTGAGCGTCAGCCGGGACCGAGACGAGAGCGGGAGTGTCCTCAGCCACGGGAAGAACTCACGGTAAGTCGGCTCAAAAGCCTAATATTCAAATAAAACGCCATTAAAATTATTGTTTAACCAGTAATAATAATATACATTTATAGTTCTGGTCTCTTGAAAGTCACGCGAGGAAAAAATGGGATTACGCGTACGAAGTCGCGGGCAGAAGCCAGTATTCAATAATATTCACGGCTTCACAGAAAACCGACGTGAAGCAACGCTTGCGTTGTGTTTCGTCGTGTCAGTGAGGTTACCTCCGCCTCCCCAGTCTCCCCAATTCCTGAATCCCCAATGATCCTCAAACTCCCAATCCCCAAAAGGCCGGTAACACACTTGTAACGCCTCTGGTGTTCCAGGTGTCCATGGGCGACGCCGATTGCTTCCCATCAGGTGATCTGTCTGCTCGTTTACCGGCTTATGCCATAAAAAACTTTTACTATTAGATAGCCAACCTCTTTCTTTAGTATTTTCTTCATATAATTCAATGTTAAGACTTTGGTTTTTTTACGTCATAATTTTTCTATATGTCTGTACATGAGACATAGAGTTGTTATTAACCCGTCGAGCGTCCGCGTTCCTTACGGTCCAACGAGTGCACATGTGACATTTGGAGAAAGAAAGAAAGAAAGAAAATGCATTTATTTGGCCATTGGCACACGAAAACAAGGATCATTACAAAAGAAATAAAACAAATACAGTCAAAATTTAAAAAAACCATTAATAATAGATTTTATAAAAGAGAAAGCAGCATGGAGCATTTTTTCTTATGATCCACCGGGTGCTCATAAGGACGCTCGAGGGGTTAAGAATCACTCTATCTATTAAGACTTTGACTTCCAACAAAAAACTGTTGAAGGTAAATCCTCTGCTAACGCCGGTCACCGGTGACCCCCATGGCGTTTAACGTGTTAAAAAACCGCATCAAAATCCGTTGCATAGTTCTAAAGATCTAAGCATACATAGGGACAGACAGACGGCGGATAGTGACTTTGTTTTATACTATGTAGTGATAGTGATTTGTTGACGTTTCAAAAGTACCTAATAAGTTATGGTTTAATTGAAATAAATGCTTTGACTTTGATTAGGTAATAGAGACATACCATAAACAAGTACGTACTTAATCGTGTACCATAATACTTTGTTGTTTTATTATGATCCAACTGAATAATTGCAGGTACCTGTTGGGTTTTGTAATCATCCGACAGCTTCTTTCTTATGAGCCTTTCATTAGAACATACGTAGTTATTACCTACCATCAATAGGAAACCGAATGAAAATAAAATCATGGCAAAATCAACCTTAAGTAGGTTAATATTTACTAACGTGGGCATTAGGTAGACACAATAAGACAATAACATAAGAATTAATGTCAAATGTAGAAATTCCTGTCTACCTGCCTGGTACTTGTCAATTTTGTTATTATTCTTGCAGATTTACGGTGGCAAAATTTAGAAAAAATATTATACTTTAAAATTAATCGATATAAAAGTTATGATTCACTTATCGATTTCACTTCAGTCTTCTAAAACTAAGTTTGAATTTTCTAAATAGTTAAGTAAGCAAAATAGTAATTTGCTATCAATACAAAAGCTCACTTCTAAATACGTCGACCAATCGTGTCTCAGCACAATATTTTGTTTCTGCGTTCTCATTGGCTCGGCCGCCACTCGCCACCGCCATCTTGCGACTATTGCAGTATGGAGGCAAAACTTAGGTATTCATATTTTGTGCCGTTCTCAATGAACTTCGCGAGTTCACTGTGAAATTGACAACTGAAAGTTTTAATTGAAATATCTTGTGAAATATTCTTAAAATAGTGATTGTGACTAGTGAATTTATAGTTAGTTTTGTGTTTAGTGAAGTTTTCGGAGTCAGTAAATACTAAAACGCAATCGAAATGTTATCCAAGTATTTTTCGTCGATGCAGCAAAATGATGAGTGAGTTTCGATATTAACATAGTATTTACATTATAAGAAGCACTGTTACTAACAGCGAATATAAAGAAATGTCTCATTAGGTTAGTTTTTTAACATTACGAACGACTTCAACACAGGAATTTTATTATTATTCGAAATACTCGAGTCTAGGTACTTGAGATTTCAAGTGGTGCGAACGAAAGTTTATATTTTTACTTTGTCATCGTTGTATAAATCAGGAAACTTGATCCTAATAAACACCTACGCAAGTTTTAACTGATAACGAACTCAATAATTCGTTTAATTCATTCACTGTAAACATGTAAAGATCGTTCGCGAATGTTTGGCAGGTACCGGTGACCGGCACGTCGACTGTCTGTCTACCCTCTTGCCTCGTTATTATTGAATTCTTGTTGTTTTCCGACCTTTCTACAAACTGCATGTACCTACATAAAAGTGATCTACTCATAATGAAAACGAATATTTCTTTCGATATTTGGGAAGATATTTTATTCTCAAAGAAATAGTTACCAGGGTAGGTACTTTAATTAGGTGATATTGGTATGAAGTGATTTTGTATTATTTAAAAAATCGTTCTATTGGCTTTTTACATTATAGAAAATTTGAAACGGCCAGTGTGATTTTCTCGAGTTATTAAAACAACCCTTTACACATAGAATGAGCTGAAAAGACAGCTCATCTGTCATAGTTTTTTCAAGTACCTATATGAATTTATACTAGCGGGCATTCTAAATGACCTCTCTGATGGTATATTTGGTTACTATAAAGAGATTGTTATCTCATAATATTTTTGAAATGATTAATGAACCGCTTAAGTGCACCGATAGTGTTATTAGAGGAAGGTGTGGAATGAAAGATGATGTAGTGACAAAGATTAAAAATGGGAATGTTACATTAAAAATGGAAAGTAGAGTAACGAAAGAAGTATATAGAAGGTGGTGGAGGGCGCCCTAGACGGACATAAACTGACCAGATTGGGGATAATTTAAAGAAGGGCCAAATTAAAAGTACCTTTAACCGAAGAGCATGCATGAAAAGATTGATGACTGTTGATGAAGCAAAAGAAGTATGAAGGAATCTTAGTAATTGGTGTTCCATAGTGTCTGCCTACCCCCATGGGAGACAGGTGTGAAGTTATGTGTGTATGTTGAATGCACCAATATGAGATTCAATAGAAAATATATTAGTGTCTCAATACTTACATGAAAGGTTAATTAATATGCCTTTGATAATTTTCTTACCGCTGTACTCAGAGTCATTTAACTCGTCGAGTACCGGTTTTATAGACACAATTAAAGAACAATAGGTCGCGGTCACCGGTGACTGCTTGGTGTTTGACAGATTAATGGCTATTTTATAAGGAATAGTTTAACCCGTTGAAATTCATCCCCCAACGTTCATACAAAAGTAGTCTCTCAACATTGGAAATAAGGTCTATAATGTAGTTAGTGGAGAGCGGTCACCGAATATACAGGTTAAGTAATCAATAATTTTCTCGGTGTATCGCAGATAGCTCTCTATATCTAGTTAATAAGGCATTTCAGCTCATTGTCAATGTACCATTTTCTGTATGAGTTAATAAATAATTGTAAAACCTATTTTCGTAGACAGAAGGAGAATATTGTAAGGATACTTCCAATACGGTAGTCGCCAGGTCAAATACTTTTATTTAAATCTCAAAAATGATACATTTCTATGAATTTTCGATCGCAACTTATGACGTCATTATATTTCTGCGTCAAATAGCATTATTATTTCCTTAAAATTAGCTAGAAAAAATCCAAATGTAGTTAAATTGTCAAAACAATGGATGAGAGTATGATTATTTATTAATTACTAGCTTTTACCCGCGGCTTCGCTTGCATCACAAAAGGATAAAAAGTGACATATACCAATACTCACAGCGCCATCTATACCAATACTTTTGTTTTCCCTCGAATATCAATTTTTTCCGGGATAAAAAGTACCCTATTATTTTATACTGACTTCGAACTTTACGTCTACAAAAAATCAAAGCAATCGGTTTAGTAGTTACTGCGTGAAAGCGGAACAAACAAACAAAGTCACTTTCCGAATTATAATATTAGTAAGGATTTATTGCATTGAAAAGTTAAAACAAGTTTTTTTTAAACCTAGGAATCTAGCCAATTGTTTTTGACGTGACAACGTCTTATAAATTGGTTTGCCGGGTGACACTTCAAGAAACTGCGTTACGCTCCGCTCACGTTATGCGCTCACAATGAGAGCGAGTGAGAGGCACGCGTCCCTTCCACTCGGGCATGGTTAGCCCGCCTAAGAGCGAGAGAGACAGACATAAAAAGTGAAAGGCACACCACTCAAAGTCGTTGTCACGTAAAACTTTCGCCCGTATACCGACTTTATAGGCAACCAATTTTTTTTATTATTTAGTGTATGCTTGAAGTCGCTAACCTGCCATGACCTTGATTAATAAGTGATCAATGCTCATTTCTTCTTGTTTTTGATACAGACCTTTGCTCAGCAATAGGACAGTGATAAGACAATGTTAGTGTTATGATGAAGTGGTGAGCTTATTTAACTTGAAGCCATTTTTGTTTCAGAATGGCGGACGATGTCCCTAATGGAGATAACAATATGGATGACCTGCTGCTAGAAGATGACTATGTAAGTATCAACATATTAAATTAATGATTACCTCTTTGGCCGAGTGGTCGCAAGTGCGACTGCTGGGCAAGGGGTATCGGGTTCGATTCCCGGGTCGGGCAAAGTATTACTGGGTTTTAAAAAAAAATCATAGTTGTAGCACGGAGTCTGGAATTGTGCCCGGTATATGGCAATAGGCTCATCCCCTATTACATGGGACTCTTAACATAAATAGTGAAAATTGGGTGTTACAGTGTACAGTGGTATTGAGTGCCATAATGTGCACTTCTGCCTACCACTTTGGGGGTAAAAGGCGTGTATGTATTATGTAATTGAAACACAGCTTCTACGAAAATTAATTTTGAATATTTCTCATTTATCCACAGGGGTTCTCGGACATCCTGGACCCGAATCTCCACCTGGAACTGGAAAGCCTCAAGCTAGAACAGCTGAAGGTGCGGGAAGAGCAACTGCAGGTCAAGCAAAGGGTTATATTGTTGAAACAGGCGGAGAGACGACCTGTAAGTAGTATTATTATTTTATTTCACTTCATACTAACTCCTGGTGACATGCTAGTTAAGGAGGAGGCGGGACGCGTCCTCGCAACCCAGCCATCGCGAAGGACACATCGGGCGTCGGGGATCGCGGGACGATCTCCGGCCACCGTAAGCGCGGGACTGCGGACGGCGAGCATGGGTGGCCCCGTCCGACCAGAAACAGATCCGAGCGTACGCGCTCAAAGAGCCATCAGACCACCACAGATGGGGCCCAACAGGGCCGATGCCGATTCAGAGTCGCGGAGAACCTAACGGGTAACCGGGGCTCCGGCTCGAAGTGCAGAAGAAGGAACGGAGTGGTTTTTAGTCAGTAAGAGTCTGACACTCCCTCCCACCCGGGTGACGGCTTCGTAAATCACAACCCTCAGTCTTCACGTGGGTGTTGGATACCCGATCGAGGGATTCATTTGACAGACTTTAAATCAGTGCTTCATTTTTGCTTAACTAACTTGGTGATGACTGCTTACTATTCACTAATTGCCATAAATCTTTATATTATTGTATACCCAGCTAAGGGTTACACAATTTGACAGTGTCTTATGTAGGGGTGGCCCGTAGTCCAGTAGACTGTCTGTCATGGTCTCTCTGTCTCATCTCTGAGACTAGCTTCTGCTGGCGGCTTTTCCTCGCGGCTCCGTATCGGCATCAGCCCTAATGAGCCCCACCCGTGGTGGTCCGATGGCTTTTTAAGGCACGCGCTCTATTTGTTTGCCGCTCTATGCTGTAAAAAAAACGTTAAAAGCAACGCTTGTCTCCCATTGCGGTAGACATAGACAATTACACCACGATTCTGACATACCTAGTTCGCTTCATCTGCATTCATCTTTCTCTTCATCTTCATGCTTGCTCAACTAGGCTGAGGGTGCAAGGTATTCATAAAAAAGTAATGTGATTCATGAGAGTTTAAAATATGTTTTTTTTTCTTTTTTAGATGACGCAGATGAGTAATCGGTGCATTCTGCCTGATGGAAAGATCGTAGTCCGCAACAATGCTGACAGGTTAGTATTTTTGAATTAATACTTGTTATTATCATTAGGGTCGTATTTAAACTGTCAAACACCGCGAGGACACCGGTGACCGCAACCTATTGTTGTTTAATTGTGTCTATAATGACGGTACTCAAAGAGTTCATACTTTAAAGTAACTGTAATTTCCCTTTTTTCAATCAAAATATTCGAAATTACCACCAAAAATACTGATTTGCACACTATATTTGCTCATCAAATGAATCAATTATACTATATTGTTAGATTGCGACTGCCGGATAAGGGGTCTCGGGTTCGATTCCCGGGACGGGCAATGTATTACTGGGTTTTTAAAAAAAATCTCAGTAGTAGCACGGAGTCTGGAATTGTGCCCGGTATATGGCAATAGGCTCACCCCCTATTACATGGGACTCATAACATAAATAGTGAAAAGTGGGTGTTACATTGTACTTACAGTGGTATAATGTGCACCTCTGCCTACCCCTTCGAGGATAAAAGGCGTGATGTTATGTTATGTTTGTGTATATTGTTAGATCTTTAATGTTTAACTGTTTTACTGAATGACTACATTTTAATTAAAAGTAAGTCTAATAATTCCTAACCTAACCTATTTTGGAAATTCCGTTGTAATATTGAACAATTTGTGGGCAAATCAGTATTTTTGTTTTACGGTGAGTAATATGTGGTTAATTTATAGTACAGTCCTTTTTTGATATGCAGTAGGTTATTAGTGGAGAAATTTGGTTTGCTTAAATTTCTAAATTGAGGTGCAGTAAAAAATTCCCTTTTTATTATAAGGATCTATTTTTTTGTTTTTTAAGAAAAAAGAACATTGTCGCACACTAGGATTATCTCCTGTGTCGTGGGTGCGTTGACAAACATACACATCACATTCAGACCCGAAACAACAATTTGTGGATCACACAAAGTGTTGTTCCGTGCGGTAAACAAAACAGCCGGTTGCCCAGCCACCGCACCAACCGTGCAGTCGAATTAGATTGATTTTATGCTACAAATAGGAGTTTTTGTATGAAAGAATTGTGAAAAATTCAAAACTACTTTTCTAAAGTAATCTGGCTTTGAAAAAAATAGCCCTAATTAGGTATTTAATACACATGCTCTAAAATAGCATTCTATTGAGCATGCTCCAAGTCTAAACTGTTCAATAATCGAACGCCTCTCGATTCGCAAAGAGCTGATGAGAAATCTAATTTTGAGCAATATTCCGACACATGCTGGCATGTGACAAGTGATTAATTGGGTACTTGCCTTCATCAAAAATAAATTCAATAAATAAATTCAATACAATAAAATATTAAAAAATAATCACACCTTCATTAATTCATTTTATGACTAACTTAATTTTAGTATTTTCCCAGCAATCTTTTTAAAAATAAGTGACAACACAATCTCCTACGTAAAATTCATAGAAAACTGTTGTTTTTGACAGTTTGAAAAAAGTATTGAATTTGACTAGTTGGCAAGTACTAAGTTAAGTTTAAGTTGCCATTCAATGAGTCCATACTCATTTATAGATTAACCCCCATGGGTTATCTATATACTTATAATAAATCTGTAGAGAGGTAAATTCTGTACATAAAATATATTTAAAAAATAACTATCAAGGGGTGGTTAGGGATCGCTACTGATGCCAAAAATGCAATCAGTAAAATTTTTGTCTGTCTGTCTGTCTGTCTGTATGTTCGTTATGGAAACAAAAACTACTCGATGGATTTTTACGAAATTTGGCACAATTATTCTTCATACTCTTGGGCAGGTTATAGTATACTTTTCATTACGCTACGATCAATAGGAGCAGAGCAGTGAAGGGAAATATTGGGAAAACGGGAGAAGTTACTCCATTTTTTAAACTTCCGTCGCGTGTGCAGGCTTATAGGTTAAAGCTGCATAGAAATCATGTATGACGGAAATATTCTCCTTAAAATTATATAAAAAATATTCCTCGACAGCATATGTCTATCTTTTATGGTTGAATCACAATAACACGTGAAACTCCAGATAGCTTAGCAATTCGGTGATTTCTGATTGTAGAGGTATTTGTCTACTCTAACGTTTACAATACTCATTCATAGACTTTACGCTGTAACTGAAAGGCCAATGGTTGAAATTAGCTTGACTCGATATTATAAATGAAAATATGTGAGTTTATGTGTATGTTTGTTACTCAGTCATATTAAAACGAGTGAAGGGACCGGAATGAAATTCGGAACAGATGTAGATTATGGTCTGAAGTGATACATAGGCATTTTACCCCTGGGACCGCGGGCGAAGCTGCTGGCAGAAGCTAGTCTATAAATAATTTTATTGATCTCGTTGGCCGAGGGGTCGCAAGTGCGACTGCGCCGGGCAAGGGGGTCTCGGGTTCAAATCCAGGGTTGGGCAAAGTATACTGGGTTTTAAAAAAATCTCAGTAGTAGCAAGGAGACTGGAATTGTGCCCGGTATATGGCAATAGGCTCACCCCTATTACATGGGACTCATAACATAAAAAGTGGGTGTTACTTTGTCCAGTGGCATTGAGTGCCGTAATGCCGTAACTTCTGCCTATCCCTTTCGGGGATAAAAGGCGTGAAGTTATGTTTTTGTATAGATATGTGAGTTAACTATTACGATTATTTCTGGAATTTAATGGTATAATTTTAATATCTACCCACTTATTTCGCGACATTGTCCAACTGGTTCCGTGGTGTAGTGGTTATCACATCTGCTTTACACGCAGAAGGCCGCCAGTTCGATCCTGGCCGGAATCATATCTTTTTGTTACGTTTTTCTACAATGTTGGGATCAAATAATAATATTTTATGTAATGTGTTAAAGCTATATGGTAATTGTGTGTGTGTTTTAAAATAATAGTAAATAGATAAGTTAGTTTAGTTTTTTTATTATAATTATTTGTAAGCAGTTTTTGAGTTTTATCGTTTAATACATTTAGTATTACATTATTCAGTTAAATGCTTAATTTGTGTGTGAAAAATATTCCTTAGGTTCTAAAGACATCTGATAAAATAAATTATATTATAATTGTAAAACAATGTCATACATATAAAATTGTGTCTGTGTCAACAACTGACTTTATTTCTGCATTGAAAGTGTGTGTGTAAAATATCTGTTTGTACAACCACACGAAACGATGAATAGAAAGCGTCTAAATAACAGATCTACTGTTAAATTGGTTTAATTAACTTTTAGGGCCGATTTTTCCAACACCAGATAAATTTTTAACTGAGGAATGACTTTGAATATTTGACAATTGTTGCATACTAAAAACTGTCTAATAACAATTTTATTCTACAGTCAGTTTACGAGTTAAAATGATGAGGATATTTTTGATAATTTTATTATTTTTTTCCTCCAGTCATATTCTTACATACATACATAGCATCACGCCTTTTATCCCCGAAGGGGTAGGCAGAGGTGCACACAGAAGTAACACCCACTTTTCACTATTTATGTTATGAGTCCCATGTAATAGGGGGTTAGCCTATTGTCATATACCGGACCCATTGCCAGACTCCGGAGATTATTTTTTAAATACCCAGTAATACTTTGCCCGACCCGGGAATCCAACCCGAGACCCCTTGCCCGGCAGTCGCACTTGCGACCACTCGGCCAACGAGGCAGTATTCTTCTATATTTCTTAATTTGTTAATTTTAGTTGTAAATACTTTAATTTTTATTTATTTTAGCCCTTGTTATTTATTATTTAGTTTATATTACATACATTAGTTTAGTTGTATGCACAAATATAATATAATTTAGATAAATAAAGTACTAATTATTTTTTAAATTAAAATTTTAATTTATCATAACTTAGAATTGAATAGTGTATGTACTCAATGAATAAAAAATTGTTTCGACTTTCCCATACAATAACATTAAAAAACATTCAGACTTAGAATTAATTGTATGAATCATAATATTATATTTCCCCTTTATTGAAAGAATAAGAATAATGTGACGTCATAGGACCATCGACCCGCTACCGGTCGGCTCCTAATTTTTATATCCTTACTTCCTTACTAATATTATAAATCGGAAAGTGAGTTTGTTTGTTTAGTTTGTTCCACTTTCACGCCGTAACTACTAAACCGATTGCTTTGAAATTTTGCAGACGTAAAGTTAGAAGTCCGGATTAAATAATAGGTTTTTATCCCGGAAAAATTCGATATTCCCGAGGGAAAACAAAAGTATTGGTATAGATGGCGCTGTGTGTATTGGTATATGTCACATTGGCTTTTTATCCTTTTGTGACGCGAGCGAGGCCGCGGGTAAAAGCTATTTTTTAAATATTTTTTTTTTGTGAAGTAGCATTTTGTAATTTATAGAGAATTTGATATAATTATTCGGAATTAATGTGACGTCATAGCACACAATAATATCGTTTGACACTAACTTCTAAAATTTGTCTAGTTGAAAAATATATTAATGCAAGTCACTTTTTATTGTATTTAAAATAAGCCAACTATAATTTTAATATCGCAATATTTTCTGTTAGCAAAAGTAACAAAAAGATATGATTCCGGCCAGGATCGAACTGGCGGCCTTCTGCGTGTAAAGCAGATGTGATAACCACTACACCACGGAACCAGTTGTGTTGAGTCGCGAAATTATATAGCACTTTCTTTTCACATTACGTAAAGTGACTGTAATATATTTATTCATTGCCTGGGGCATTTTATGTAGGTACGTAGTGACTATTAAATAAGAAATAAAACCACTTATTCAGAGTATAGAAAGTAGATCAATCAAACAACGGCAAGTACCATTGTCACTTTATCCGAGTTATATGTGCTTTCTAAGATTATTTAGACACCACTGACAAACGGTGACGTAAAACATTGTGAGGAAACCTGAGCTTATTTTGTCATTATAGGTTTCAAATCGCCAATGCGCATTGAGCGAGCGTGGTGATTAATGCTCAAATTTTGTCCGTGTGTGAAGAGGACTTTGGTCTAATTCAATTAGTTCAATGCGAATATAGGTCAAGTGTAGATGTTACAGTAGGTATTATAATTAATGAATTAAATTGTATTGAATTTGGCTTTATATTCCGTACTCTGAATGCCATTTTAACAGCTACTATTGTGGTTGTATATTGTTTGACATTAAATAGTTATTGGGATTGTATTGGATTGAAATTGCATTGACATTGAGATTGGTTTCAAGAGTAAGGCACCCTGGTGATCGACAGCTCGTTTGCCTCCTATTCCATAAAAAAAAAATACATTTTGGGTCATTGCCCTTTCTTTACAATATTCATAATACTCCTTACACGACAAAATAACTTATAACTGTATAATTAACAATAATTTGTTTATTTTTCGGTCTAGCGTTGTCGCAACAGTAAAACAAGTCAGGTTTCGGTAAGTTTCCTGTTGATAAGTGTGTTTGTTCTCTGCTATACGCTATGCTATCCTGCTCCGTCTGTATTTCACGAGCTTACATCGCGCTAAAGGCACGGTTTTTTTTATTGTGAAAATCATCAAATGACTTCTCCCGCCTCCATGAAGCGGGAGGGAGTGTCAGACTCTTACTGACTAAAAACCACCCCGTTCCTACTCATGCACTTCGAGCCGGGGCCCCGGTAACCCGTTAGGTTCTCCGCGGCAAAGGCACGGTAATGTTATCATACAGTAGTGTAACTCGACCGCATGACAGAGTTAAATACCTACAGCTGCGCTGTACGTAAACATGCGTTAGGGCTGCCCGTCTCCAGTATTTTAATTACATTTGCCTACTTTCTGTTCTGTTTCTATTTAGTTTTGTGATTGTAAATAGCCTTTTTTATATAAACAAATATTTTTTTTGTATATTGAATAATGAATAAGAAGTGTTCAATAAAAATGCGTGTTGTTTTTAAAATAATAATTATTATTTGAAAATCGAATCGGGCTTATAAAATTGCAAGCGAAAAATTTTTGCAAAAAAATACAGCCAAAAACAGCACAATATTTTCTACTCGTCATATTAAATATGTACTCGAACTGATCTTTTGAGAAAAATCGCTCGGTTATCACTACATAGTATAAAAAAACAAAGTCGCTATCCGCCGTCTGCCTATCCCTACGTATGCTTAGATCTTTAAAACTACGCAACGGATTTTGATGCGGTTTTTTTTAATAGATAAAGTGATTCTTAAGGAAGGTTTATATGTATAATACATTGTTCTCGCACAATCCAAACAGCAAAACTATGTAACATGTAAATTGTTTTGTGAACCTGATTGAAAAAGAGTAACCTATGGAGTTTATTGGTCGTTCTTCTCCATAGGAATGAGCAAATAGCTTCACTTTTAATTTTTTTTTGTTGACGTTCCAAAGTGCCAATCTGGCCTAATTGAAATAAATGAATTTGACTTTGACATGCGTATTGCAACCGTGCGAAGCCGGGGTGGGTCGCTAGTTGTTAAAAAACAACCGTTCGTTCGTAACCGCGGTACAGCTGTGACTGACTGACTGTCTATGTCTGCGCCCCGAGCGCACCCCGACATCGAGGCGCGTAGATATAGCTTGCGTTTCGTCCGTTTGTATGAAGTTGGAATACTGTATGATAATATTACCGTGCTAAAGGCCAGTCTCAATATCTTTATATGTCGGTGATTTGGCTATTAGCTATACATTTTTGATAAATTTTTTTATAACACGACCCAAAAAAGCTCACGGCCCACCTGGTGGTAAGCGGTTACCGTGGCCTATGTACCCACGCTTGCAACAGTTGTAGCTTTACATGAGCCTTGCCGACACTTAAAAAACCTATTCACTCCTCTCTTGAAGAACCCCATGTTGTTCCATACATTCTCATGTGTGCAGTCTTGCTTTGGCACTGCTACGCCGGTTCTACCGTAGTAATAGCTGTGATACCACAGCTTCACGGAAAGTTTGCGTGAAACAACGATTGATTTGTGTTTAGGGAATGCAATTTTCGCGAGATTTTGGTTCAAGCGAGATTTTAGAATACCATCTCACGAGATCTCGTCAATTTAAAAAGATCTCGCGAGATTGGAAGTTTTGTATCTATGTTTGTTTTTTACAAATAATCGTAATATTTCAATCAATGAGGAAAAAATAATTACTTATAGGTTATAAGATGAACGCGTTACTTAATTGTCACAATTTTTTTGCTGGCAAACTGTAATAAAAGAATTCTACTAAAACGAATCAAAGTTTAGGAGCTAGGGGTGTCGTTTTTGGGTGTAAATCAGATGACGTCACTTTTGTAGTGACGTCATGCGATATTTCAAATCAATGTATCGTAGAAAGTATTCGTTTCCGTAAGAAAATAAAAAATACGTGTCTAAAGTTTTTAAATAATAATCTACCAGACGGACATTCAAATAAAAATTAGTCATCTACCCTGTTGAAAGAAACAAATAGTCTTCGCTTATAAAATCAATAAAAATTCTTTAGTTAGGTAAACTCTTTAATGTCGCAAGATTTCGTCGCATTTTTTTATTTATGAGAGATAAGCAGGTAAATGAGCATACGGGTCACCTGATGGTAAGCAATCGGCGTCACCCATGGATACCTGGAACACCATAGGCGTTACAAGTGCATTACCGGCCTTTTGGGGATTAGGAATTTGAGGATTGTTGGGATTTAGCGATTGGGGGTGGGCAGGGGTATACTTGGGCTTCCAGTGACCTCACTACACGACGAAACACAACGACAGCGTTGTTTCACATTGGTTTTCTGTTAGGCCGTGGTATCACTACGGTCGAGCCATTCGTGCCGAAGCATGGCTCTCTCACGCCTACTCATACTCTCGTCCGATTTCGACCGAGATTGCATTCCCTAACTACAATCACTATCGCTTATCAGTTTATCTAATGAGATTAATTCTTTTTGCTGTTTTTTTATAGTCAGGCTTTTTTAACAAACCAAACATACTTATTTTAATGGTGATAAGGTCCACAAGTCCTTGCTTTTCTTGTATTCGGTGCTGTTAGGTTTCATATGCTGCTCTTTCGTGCATAAAATATTCTTTTTATTATCATTTGCAGCTATTTTGCCTTTTTAATACAATATAGTCTAAGATTTCAGTCTTGGAATTTTTTCCTATACACCGTTAAATCTATTTCGTTTTCGTCCCGCTGCAAAACAATTTGCCATAAGGAGAAGATACTTTCGATGTATAAAGTAAACCCAAAAAGAAATAAGATGTCATTATAACTTATTTTTAAAAAAAATCATTGAAATACGCACATGCAACACTAGACGTTTTGTTGGCACTATTCGCATCACACGGACCACCCGGCGAGAAATACCTCTTCGAAAATTATATGGCGTGATGTTTTGATAATGTACTATGAGTTCGTATACGCTTTCGAAGCTTAGCTAGCTACTTAGCTTTTTGCAATGGTTTACCAGTTATTTTTTTGTTTTAAACATCTTATTTATTTGTAAAGCTTTGATACAGAACTATTTTACTTCGGAACGAAAACGTAATAGATTTCACAATGTATTTACATATTCATATATGATAAAAGAACTCGCACTGTATTCTTGTTGTGTTTGTGTGTTTGTCGTGGTGTAATCAATGGTTTTTCTTTCTTTCACAACATAACATAAGCTTTTTTACATGTATTATTGTCTCTCTGCATCACCCTAAGGTTGATTATTATGCCTTGTTCACACTACGCTAGTATTTTAGTCGAGTTACTGATAATTTATTATGTTTTCGGCTTACTCACGTAATAATTTGACGAAGAACTCGATTTATACTTTCAAGCCATGCTAGAGGCTCATATTCATGAGCACCATTTCGCGACCCGCGACGCGGCGACTGTCGCACTGCTAATTTATTTAGTATGTCCCACGAAAGTTACAATACAAATACGAGTTACTAATATTTATCTGTCCCAAAATCAAAGTGAGAGAGAACTTCTAAATACTCGTTACTTGGCTAAATTACTAGCATCGTGCGAACAAGGCATTACAGAATGCTACTAGGCATTAATTCCACCATTGTATATTGTACTTACAAGACGTGTAAATAAATAAGATATGTTCGTAATGTAACTGTCTTTCTCTCAACAGGGATTCCCGAGACGCTGACGTCAGCTTCAGCGCGGGCGCCGGCGATTCGGTGAGTTTCAACCCTTTTTTTATTTTATTCCATGTTCATACTAATTTATTATGATTTATTTTGAACATCACACTAGGTATTCCTAAAATATCTAAAAATTACACAAGTTATGTAAAAAATAAAATTCAAATATAATAAATTCTTTATTACCAACTCAATGATACATGTATAATGAATGATATCTTTAAATACGTGGAAATACCCATAATAGTATTTACATAAACGTACAAACTGAAATTGTTACTAAAAACCTTTCTCCCTAAAATTTATTGACAAAAAAATTAAGGTGATATTATATCATCTTCATTTTTACGCAGGTCGCGTTACGTCACAATCTTGTTTATCTATGAAACATTGAATTGATTAGGTTAGCTAACTCATGTCGCGGTTCGACGAAGTTACTCGATTGATTTCAAACCAAGTATGGGATCCTGAAATGGTTTGAAAGGTGTCGAGTTGGCTTGTCGAGCAGTCTCGTGAGTGAATTGTATAATCTGATTAATTTTATATGAAGTTATGTCGTAAGACACAATGCACCTACTACTTGGAAGCGGTAAAATACGTCTAATATCTATATTCTTATGACTACTTATGACAAACGAACTGACAGTTAAATTTTATTTCCTACTTTGGTACTTCATCTGAATTATATTTATGCATGAGTGACCAAAAAATCTCTTATTATGTCTATTAACTTTATGTTTATATATCCAAAACTGTGTTTCGCTATTATCGAAATTTTTAGAAATTAAATTTACCGTTTGACGGGTCTAAGGATGTTTTAAAAGACTTGCATCATGCATGTGCTTTAGGTAGGTAGCTTCGCTTCATGCATTATCATCAAATCAAGGAATTCAACACGGTGTTGCCAGATACATCACAAAATTGGGGCGGAAGTGTCAAAAAACAACAACAAGAAGGATTTTTGGTACTAAAACTTGATATTTTGGTCTCCCGAACATGATAACGGGAAGAAATCTGGCATCACGAGTAGTATAGCATTCAGAGACAGATATCGATACAAAGAGTTTTGCTTCAGAACGAAACCACGATCTGTTCCTGTAAAGTCAAGACGAAGAGGTCCTGGGAACACGTGCGAACAGATGATGGTAGTTCCACGCCTTCGACTTGCGTTCTTTGCTCCGAAGAAAGAAGCGAGAACAAGCACTATAGAGATAAGTCGGTCACAAGCAAAGTAACAGATAAAAAATCAGAATACTCGAGCAAATTTGTCAGTAGCAAAACTACAGACGTTAGGAAAAAGAAATCCGACTGTAGTAAGGTTACTGATACTTATAGTAAGAGATCTGACGCGACTAGCAAAAAGGAAGTTAAACGATGCGGCAAATGTAGGAGCGAGGTGACATGTGACTTGAAATATAGTGACTTTTACACCGACAGTGATGACGAGGACGAGACTAATAGACTTATACAACTGCGCAATGCAGACTACATGGACATTGTAGACGAGGATTTGAAGTTAGTCATTGCTTTAGCAGGGTACCCTAAATCAAAAATGCGACTAAGACAAATGGAGCAATTCCAACGAGGTCTAACCGACGTTATTGATATGCAGCTAAAAGCTGGTCTTTTAAAGCGAGTGCCATCTTTCTTAGACTACTATTTGAACCGAGGAGCGTTAGTATGTATTTGTAAAGACGTTGATACTAGGGACTGGATGGTTCGCATCTCCCCTGGTCTTCAAGAAAGGATGTGTACTAACTTAGTTCTACTTAAGGCGAAAGTCAAAAGACTGTGCCTGGCAGTTCTAAAGATTCCCAGGTCCTGTTGGCCGGCTACAGCTCAAGATGCTTTCAAACTTCTACAATATTTTAACCCTATGCTAAAGACGAGCCTATGGAAAATTTACGCGCAGAAAACGGTTGAAAATGTTGAGTTTACGTCGTTCTTAATTGATAGGGTTTCAGGAGAGATTATTCGAGGCCCATCATTCAAAAATGTAATAGATTACGGACAAATGGAGTTTGAATTGACTGGGTACACTGAGATCTACTATGAATGTCTCCTCTCCGGCATGGAAGAGGATTTGAGGAGTGTAGCATCAAGAGTAAAACTACTTGATGAACTAAAGTCAGCAGAGACTACACCAAGAAACGCGTCTGACGTTGATGTAAGTGTCAAAGAAGTGGGAACAGTGAAAGAAGAAGAAGAAGATGATGATAATACTATTGCAGAAGAAGAAGCTACCACTGTCGAGCCAGAAACAGAAGACACGAACGATGTGCAAAAGGAACTAGAAAGTGGTTTACAAAAAGATATATTAAAGAAACTCAAAGACGTAAAATATATTAGCGATAGAGATGAAGTATTAGTTTGGTCGGACGAAACTAACAATTACAGTAATGAGATTGAAGCGGAAAAATCTGAAAACATAGGCAAAGAACAAGATAATTTAGAAAGCAATATCGCGTCTATTTCTGGTGTGGCCGTCTCTGATAAAACTGAATCTTTCATAGAAAGTAATGATAATCTCATTGCGAGAAGTAGTAACTTGAACATAGATAGCAATAGAGGCATTGCTTACCATAGAAGAACTAACTACTTACATGTAGAACATGAACTGAAAGTAGCAATTACTCTAGAAGGATACCCACAGAACAAATTAGAAGGAACTCACATCCGAAGACTGAAACATCTGTTCAAAGAGTACTTACACAAAGATATGAAGATGCAACGCTTTGCCAACCTCATTATACCAAAATTTCAAGATATTTACTTATCAAACGGCGCTGTCATCTACATCTGTGACAGTTTAGAAACTAAAGACTATTTAACTGAAGTTTTGCCCAAGTTTATCAACTCTACTGGTTTGAAACTTACCTTCAGAGATATTAAAAACTTAGTTCGATATACTAGGATAGTGATGAGGCTACCTAAGGAGCATGCACATGTAGAATCTGTAGAGATTTTACTCAAGCTACAAAGTAAATATCCAGGTTTAAAGCCAGACTGCTGGAAGTATTACTCAGATGTTGCTGGAAAGCAGAAGAGACAGTTTGGAGTAGACCCTGAGTCCTTAGAAGTAATCAAGAGTCCCGATTTTGATCCTAGTTACGAAGGAGATAAGCTTACTTTTAGGGTAATCGATAGACAGAAACGTGATGTCAGCTTTGATGAAACTCATAAAGAAATTGATGATGTAGACGCCAAGAAACAAAGAGATGTCGTGCTTAAACAAATGTATGTGCCGATAGACCCAGAAATAATGGCTGCTCCGTTAACAAGGATTCGAACGAACCACTACTCTGACTTAATCGCTGATGACCTCAAATTGTATGTAGGTCCCTCAAACTATCCAGAATCTAGAATCGACGAAACGTTATTCCACTCAATCAAGAGAACATTTGAGAATATTATTCTAGAAGCTTTCGAGAAATCTGAGATTAAGGAGGAGACAATGCCGAAATTCCATGATATGTACCTGTTTGATGGCGTCATCTTCATCATATGCCAGGCTATGGAGGCTAGGAGTTGGATCGAACAAACAATCCCTCTTGTCAACTCCAAACTACACACACACCTAAAGTCTACAGAATTTCGAGGAGCAGTCGGCATCATAAGCATGGTTTGCAAAACAGACAAGGACACAGACGAAGTCATTGCGTTACTACAAGATCAAAACCCTAGATTAAGAACTAAATATTGGAGGAAAATAAGCACCGTTCGGACTAAAACGAAACTAGACGTCGTATTACAAATAGACAAACTATCGGCTCAAGTGATAACTGGACAGAATTTCAATAAATTCATCGGTAACAGCGCTGTACAATTCAAATTGGGACACTTACAATCTTTATTAAAGCCTAAATCTAGTCTAGAAGAATTAAGCAAGCTTCACGCAAAACGTTTAGAGCAAAAAGCAAGTGATAAAGAAGCCTTAGACAAGTCAAAAAGCAAGGTTTTAATGCAAGGCCATAAAGAAAAAAGTTTTGATGACGTCAAATGCGATTTAAAAAAAGATTATCCTAATTTGAAATTGGAACAATGGAGCGTCATAGCCCAACATGATAAAACCGCGCATAACGTGTGTGATTTAGAAATAGATGATGATTCAACCAATATGATTAAGAAAGAAGAATTTGAACTGAACATGGGTGATCAGAAGATATTCTTCTATACGGGGAATAAAATGGATTCCGATTTAGACCCTGTCATTATTGAACCTGATTCGCCAAAGAGTGTCGAAACTGAACTAATTTTACCAGAACCTCAAGGATACCACAAAGTCATTATGAAAATACCTATGAACATTTTGCCAGAAAACAAAGATGATTTGAACATTATATTTGATCTACTTGAAGATAAGAACCCGGGTCTTAATACAGAATTATGGCAGATATTTACCGACACGATTTACCCAAGTAATGGGAAATTTACCGTGTATATTGATAAGCAATCAGTTTCTGTTTTACAAGGAAAGAATTTTGATCCTTCCATTGGAGGGGAGAAGCTCAAATTTTTCTTCTAGTACAAATATTCAATTGACTGACGAAGTGATATACTATTATGTGCCTTAACTACTAAAGAATATGAGTGATATTTGACTGTGAACTTTAGCTCGGTTTTCTGAAAATACGTTGGACTTTATCAGTAACCAATATTGACTTTAAACTAAGGATTTTGACTATATGCCTTTATTGTATTATAAACATCCGTTTTAAGTAACATTACAAGACATTTAGCGTTTATTTTAACTGATTTTGATGTTTATTTCGCAAACGTACAGTTGATTTTTCAATGCAGATAAGTCCCTGCAGTACCAATTTGCGTATTGCGTTTAAACTTGGTCTTGTCACCCTCGCAATAGAGTTCAAAATCAATTGAAAAGACGGTAACTAAATGATATGTTGCTTAAAATGGACGAAGTTTGATGTTTTTTATATGAACTAAGTTTTATACTTATTGTATGTAGTTAAGTCTGTCTTAGGTACTGTCTTTAACTTCATTTAAAAATGAGACGAAACTCCTTAGTAGCATAT